AAAAAGTCATTTTACATATTTACTACACATTAATTTTTATTTTTATTATTAAAATAGAACATTAAAAATTAAACCATACGATAAATCAATTAAAATCAAACGAGTAACAAACTAAAAAATAAGTGATAATAATAAATCACAATTAAACCATCCTGATAAATTCTTCCTCGACCCGGCCCGCTAGCCCGGTCTGGCCTGCTTAAAAGAAAAAAAAGTTACATTTATTTCTATATAATATAGGAAAAAAATGTTGCCGTTTCAGCACTATTCTCTTCATTTTCAGCCAGGTTGATTGTCTCATAATGTTCTGTCATCTTTTATTTATTTGTTTATTTTTTACATTTGTATAATTATACTAATAAACATCTAATTAATTTATTTAATTATATTTTTATATTTATACTACACGTATAAACATTAAAAGTTGTGTATATTATTTAGTAAAAAATAGCTAAAGTACATTGAAATAAATTAACCAAAATTATAGCATCTAATTTGATAAAAGTTGTATTTCATGATGTATATAAATATTTTAGTATATTATCATAGAACAATTTAATTTAATTTAGGTGTTTTTAGACATATTTTTCATGAATATTTCATAAAATTTTAGGTGGTTTCACACATTTTTTTCAAAATAATAGAACATCTTAGATAACATTTTAGATATTTTTACATGTGTCATAATACTTTGGATTTTTTTTTAATATTTTAATTCTAAAAATATTGGTTTCATTTCTCTATCTCAAACCTCCTCCTCGCCTCCGACACTGCCTTCACGACACCGTCTCCACGCCTCGCCTCCGACTCCACTTACATATTTTGAAGGTAATTACTACATTTTTTTTTATATAAAATTAAAAATGGTTCATGTAAACTAGGTTGGAAGCTTAAGGAAAAAGGTACAGGATTTCTCTTACATTGCTGAATTTTAGCTATTTTAGGAGGTGGATCGGATGATGAAATTTGAGTATATTTCTAGTCGATTTCTTAGGACCTTCCTTACCGGATTGGTGTCTGAGCTTTGGATGCGAGGGAGGGCACAGTTCATATGGATTATCTGTTCATCTTATTCGTTTCAATCAGGAGCGTAGGCAAGAATTTTTTTTACCCGGGGCTGCTTAACATTGAGTTATTATTCGAATCAAACTATTCACGAACACAACTCATTTCGGCTCGTGAAAGCTCGAACTCAACTATTTCATACTTCAAAAGGCTAAGCTCGAAAACCTAATCAAGTTTGTTTATTAAATAATCACAAGTTCGGACATGAGATATTCGACTTGGCTCGACTCAAATAACATCTTAGCTAGATGCCAAGCATAAAAAAATCAATGTATGAAAATAATACTTTTTAATATTCAATACAACTTACATAGATTACAAAGTTAAATGAATGAAAGTATATTTTAAAAATCCAATAAATGCCAAAACTAAATTATTAAAATCCATAAGTTCAATCACAAAATAAATATTCTATTGGAATTCTAGAAGAAACAAAATATATAAATATGTAATGTAATATAAATTACATAAATAACCAATATTATTTTAATTATAAAATAATTCAATATGATTTAACCAAAATAAGAAAGAAAACAAAAATAAGAAAAACAACATGTTAAACTATAAAAAAAAAGTATATAGAGACTTATATTATGTCCAAATATTCAATTCTTAGCCTATACAAATTTAAATTATATTATCTCAAATATTTAGTTGTGCTTTCATCAAAAAGCCGTGTGCATAAATTCAAACTAAGTATATTTCTAAATTTTTCTCACAAATCAATTCATATTAACTCTTGATTGTGTTGTGGTGCAGAGACTTTTGTGTCATGTGAATTATCAATTATGTTGTGTAATTTTGTTTTTATTTTTTTTTTTTCATTTTTAAATAGTTTTTTATAAGCTCAGTTTCAACAAAGTACCAAACTACGCCTTTTCAAACTCATAAGTTTTCACCGTCCTGAAACGAACTGATATTCAAACTAGACTTTACCCAAAGTCTTCTTTTTTTTTTTTTCGTACCCAAAGTCTATTTATCCCTTAGCATGTGCATGTGAAAACTGACTTTATTTTGAAGAAAAAAGATGATTACCATTAAATATTGGACTCTGTGTGTTGATAATGTAAAGCTAATAGTAACATCAAACATTCAAGAAAACACTAATTTTATTTGACATAATAAATCAGGGTAAGACATGTTTTTGGACTTTGTAACTTATACATGTTCTTATTCAAGAATATGCAAGAACCTTCCGTACATCTTAACCATATACGTTTGTGTTTTTGTAGATAATTGTGTGTAGCAGATGACTTAACCATACATGTTTGTATTGATACAAATTGTGTTTTTGCAGATGATTGTATGTACAAGATATACGGAGACAATTATAAGTAGAGTAAAATATTTTTTGCTTATATGTATATTATATTTTTCGTACTTTACAACCTATTGTATTTTTCTTGATAAAGTGCAACCTGTACTTTAGCTATATCCAAGATATACATATGCAATTATAATTAGAATAAAATATGCTTTTGCTAACGTGTGTTTTTTGTACTTATTGTATGTATTTTTCTTGATCAAGGGCAACCTCAACTATTCATTAACATGTTCGTTTCTGTTAATGATTGTATAATCAAGATATAAACAAAATAATGTTCACGAAATTCAAGTTGCATTTTACTAGTAAACATGTTATAATCCCAAAACACATAAAGATATGTTGCAGTCATTAATTGTTCCTCTTATACATTTATATATAAGTCCATGTTGCATTTGACCAAAAATACCATATAAGTTGCATATCTGAAAAAACAAATATTTTACCCATTTTTTTATTCTTATCGACCAATAAATTCACTACACTTGTTTCCATGCCTCTACATTCATGAAAGTTCCACCAATTAAATTAAAATAACTAATCGTGGAGAGCAATATTACGATTTGGAACAATTCAGTTTGTCCCAACTGGAGTTGAAAACTTTACAACTAGCTTACTAATTTAATATTAGTATTGCACAATTTCGATACTATTTGACTATATTTTCCCCCATCAAATGTCTCCAATTAATGAAACCCAATCTCTATCTCATGTGCAAAATGAACTATAAAAATTCTTAGAGAAATATTGCAAGAATTGACTTTTTCCCCAATCAAATGTCTCAATTAATGAACCCCAATCTCATCTCATGTGCACAATGAACTATAAAGATTCTTAGAGAAATATTGCAAGATCCACCAAGTTCGCTTAAGCTTAATTAGACCCCTCTATTTCCCCTCAAAATACACTAGCCATGCTTCCCACCACCACCACCACCCCTCCGCCGCCCTCCGCCACTGGCCGCCACCACTCCACCGCCAAGAAACCGACGAAACTCAAACTCCAACTCCAAATCTCCCCCCGCCTTTGCGGTTGGCTCGTTTTCACCGCCTTTCTTCAATTCTTCTTCCTTAACTTCCTCCGAAACTCCTCCTCCTCCTCCTCCTCCTCGACAGCCGACGAGCCCTCTTGCCCCCTCGGCAAAATCCACGTGTACGACCTCCCAGCCTCCCTCAACCGAGCCTTCCTCGACGACTGTGCCAACCTCGACCCATGGTCCAACCGATGCTCTGCCTTCTCCCACTCCGGCTTCGGTCCACCGGCCGACTCCCTCCGAACCCTCATCCCGCCCGATCTCCTCCCCGCCTGGCGGTGGACCGACATGTACTCCGGCGAGCTCATCTACCACTCCCGACTCCTCGACTCCCCATGCACCACACCACACCCGAACGAGGCCTCCGCTTTTTACATCCCCTTCTACGCGGGCCTTGCCGTCGGCCGATACCTCTTCGCCAACTACACGACCGCGCAACGCGACGCGCACGCGCTCCGGATGCTCGACTGGGTCTCGACCCGCGAACCCTTCCGGAGGTCCAACGGGTCAGACCACTTCATCATGCTCGGACGACTTACATGGGACTTCCGGCGCCTCACGGAAAACGACGACGATTGGGGCACGAAGTTGAGCCTAATGCCGCCGATGAAAAACGTGCTCCGACTCTTGGTCCAGCGGAGCCCGTGGGACCCACTCGAGGTCAGCGTGCCGTACCCGACCGGGTTCCACCCGAGGACCTGGTCGGACATGAGCCGGTGGCAAGGATTCGTTCGCGAGAAGGAGCGCGCGAGCCTATTCACCTTCGTGGGGGCGGCTCGGAGGAAGATTAGGAACGATTTTCGAGGGTTGTTGATCGACTACTGCAGGGGAGAAGAACAGGGGAAGTGCCGGTTGGTCGATTGCGCGGCTAGCAAGACCAAATGTGACGATGGGGTCCCGACTATAATGGAGGCATTCTTGGGCTCGGATTTTTGTTTGCAACCCAAGGGGGACGGGTCGACTAGGAGGTCGACGTTCGATTGCATGTTGGCGGGTTCGATACCGGTTTTCTTTTGGAGGGAAAGTTTTGAGAGTCAATACGAGTGGCACTTGCCGGAGAATGCATCGAGTTACTCGGTTTATATCGACCGGCAGGCCGTGAGGAATGACTCGTCGGTTATAAGGAGGGTTTTGGAAGGGTATAGTCGAGAGGACGTGAGGAGAATGAGGGAGACGATAGTCGGGTTTTTGCCGAGAATGGTGTATTCGATGACCGATACGTCTAACAAGGGTTTTAAGGATGCGTTCGATGTAGCCATGGAAGGAGTGTTGAGAAGGTTTGAGGAAGGAAGAAAGATGAGGGAAAAGAGAAGTTGAGGATAGGTTGTTGCATGGTTCTTGATTTTTTTTTTTTTNTGGAACTGATATGACTCATGTATAGATTCATTATGTACATGAGTTGATGAAGACTTATATAGGTACCTATATAATTTTATAATTAAAAGAAATAGAAAAAGTCATCACCGAAAAACAAAGAAATCAACATAAAACTAAATCAATTCATGAATTGATCCTTATCAATAATTAAAAGAAATAGAAATTTGAATTGATTTAGTTTTATGTTGATTTCTTTTTTTTTGAATTATTGAAACTTTGTGACAAGTTTCGAAGGACAATTCAATGTGAATAATGAATATGAGAATTATAATTTTGTGAATTCTTGAGGGATTTCAATCGTCACAATCTCTGAAAAAATCTCTCAGAAAGACTAAAGCACAAGTGATTGTACTTTTGGGTATTCGGGATAAAGATGCCTTTCTTATTTTTTTCTTTTTTCCACCTTTTATTACTCCCCAAAACTTACAAGTTCAACTCTATTTTACACATATTACCAAATGACTGCACCACACGCATCCTATGAAGCATCCCATAATAAAACCATAGCAAATTTCCCTCCTATTTTTGAAAGTGAAAAAAAAAAGAAGAAAAAAACAAGTCCTATACGCAATTAACATCACCATTACAGCTAAATACAACACAGAGACTAATAAAAAAAAGAAAAAAGAAAGAAAAACTAAAAAAAATCACACAAATTCATCGTTTCCTAGCGACCTTAGCCGAATTCGAGCAAGAAGAAGGCATCGATAAACCCGTCCATTTTTTCTCGGCTATATCCTTATTGAATGCCTTCATCAGGTCTTGTTTAAGTTCCATGTATCTCATCCTTTTGGCCCGTTGTTCTTCTGGGCTGCCTTTCTCCAATAACAGTGGGCCCAACGTGTCGTCCTCCAACAGCTGGTCCAAAACTTCTGAGCAATTAGGGAAGAATCGACGGCCCGTATCAACTGCAGCCCAGTTCATAGAAAGAAATATTTGCATTTAGAGGGACGAATAATGAGATGATATTATTACTTGAAAAGTGCGTTAATTTTTGGGCCTAACCAGTTTTTTGCAGGGCTTGTAACCTGGCGTGAAGCCTTTTGACTTGCTCTGATGGTATCTCATTAAGATCAACCTCTTTAAAGTTGCCGTAAGACCCTTTAGCGGCTGAAAGTCCGGCGAACTCCAAAGTCGAGTCTGCGTGGGCGATTTGCATAGCCACTTTGGCTTCCAATGGAAATAACGAACGCGCCATTGCCACTGCCATTACCAAACCCAAATATAAAGTGGTGTTTGTTTAGTTCCTCAAGAAAAGTTACCTAATATGCACCAAATAAATTAGGGACTCATGATTTCAGTTCTCATCGAGCTCGACTCGTTTATCAATATTAACGAGCCGATCTCGCGCTTTAATGAGCCAAATTATAAAAAATTGTATAAAAAGTCTCTTTTCGAGCCTTATCAAGTCGGGCTAAATTAGGGACTCGTGATTTTAGTTCTCATCGAGTTCGAGCTTGGCCCGTTTATCAATATTAACTAGCCGCGTTCGAGCCCATCTCGATCTTTAACGAGCCAAACTACAGGAAATTGCATTAAAACTTTTCTTTTCAGCCCTATCGACCCGAGCTTGAAGCAAGCTCGAGCCTTAACAAGCCGAGCCAAGCTCACAAGCGGCTCGTTTTCGTTACGTATTCCCATTTAAATGCATTACCACCAAAAAACCCCTTTTTACCTCTATTCTCGAGAAGCAGAAGGCGCATGTGCAGGTCATCAGCAACCATCATAGACGACTCGACCACTGCCCCCGCAAGCGGGTCCCTCCGAATCTCCCTCTCCAGCACGTCCACACACAGCCTGTCCGTATTAGTCTCTTGCCCGTGCCTCGTGGCCTCGTACAAATCCTTAGGCCTCGTCAGCCTCCTCACGATCGTCACTGCAGTCCGGCCGTCCGAAGTGAGGTCCGACACGCGGGCCCCTTTATTCAGCAGGCCCACCACCACCGAAGGGTCCTTTCGCCTGGCCGCCACGTGGAGCACCGTGTGGGCCCGAGAGTTGCGTAAGTTGACATCAGCATTACCTATGTTGAGGACCTCGTTCACTACCTTGGGGTTGCAGTAAGCGGCCGCATAGTGGAGGGCGAGGGACTCGTCGAGCGTGATTCCGGATTCTTCTAGAAGGAGCTTCACCAGCTCCACGTCGTCCGAGTCGAGGGCTTGGTGGATCCTACGGATCCGCTTCTTGTTCACCGGCTCTGCCTCAACCGGGTCCTCCTCGGGTGGGTTGGATTTGGGGCGGAGGGCGTTTAAGTCATTTACGAGGTCGGGTGGGAGCTCTTTCTCGACGGTGATGTCATCGAGGTCCGAACGGGCGATTCGGTTGAGGCAGTGGGAGAGGAGTTCAGAGAGGTGACAAAGGGAGGCGGCCGTGAGTATGGGAATTATGTCCTCCACAAAAGCCTTGTCGATGAAATTCATGAGACGACGCTGCACGAGAAAAGGCGAAATCGGAAGTGATTTATTTGTTTGTAAAAGGTAACTAAAGCAAGTCTTTCTCTACTTCAAGATTTTGAATCAGAAGCAAAAATTGGCTGTTAAACACAAATAAGTAGCATTATTATGTTTTTTTGCGGTGATCACAGACATTCTGTAGTTGCTACTCATCTAGCTTGCTCGACTTTCATCACCGTTTTCATTCGAATACTCGTATGAATTCTCTGGAATTTTAAGAAGCGGCTGCGTAAAGTTAAAACGCCATTTTTCTCACATACATACAAACCATCTCTGCCGAAATCCAAAATCTTTAGACAGCCCCATTGTATTAGTCATAACTTTACACGATGAACTATCTTTGGTTTCATTAGTTTCGACTTACTCAAACAATGAAAGTACATCTATCAAATCAAACAATCGCAATCGATAGCTGGGACCTTTCAGAAAAT